GGTTATAATAGATACACAGCAGTGGACAGTGAACTGTATTGGATTTTCAAGGCTTGACATGTCCAGGCTGGTTAATGGGGAAGTTGTTAATTGCTGCTGATGGAGGATGTACAATGAGTTCACAATAACTTGAAGTTACTTATTTATTTTTGGTTTTTCTTGCACTTACATTTACTAACAGTTGCTATGCTGTTAAAGCAAACTGTTTATCTCTTTCTTTCTGCCTTGATTTCATGGGAAAAGTAGCAAACTTTAAAAACACAGTTCTCGATTTCCTTCCAATTTAAGAGGAAAACAGAACTTTTAGAGCTTTGGGGTAAAGTTACTGTGGCATTTTGATGACTAAAGGATGTTGCTTTTTTTTTCTCTGCAAATCATGAACATCATTCCACTTCTGGTTCTCGTCACTGCAGCAATAGGCCTTTCTGCAACATTAACAAATGCAAATGAGCTCGCAGCTGCTTAAGTCCTAAGTGAACTGCAAGTTCGCTTAGAAAACTCGTCATTTTCAGCAGCTAAAAAGTTGCATTTTAAAAACAGTTAATTTGGATTATCTCCTAATTTAAGAAATTATAGCAATTAACAGGATTAAACTGCTCATTTGATTAGCTCAATTAAGAGTTAAATTTAGATCTCAGCAGGAACAGCAGATAGGATCACCAGGGCCAGGACTGGTCAACACAGAGTGTGGCTGTGCAGAACAGAAAGCATCTCCTATCATCTGACAGCAGATACTTCTTGAAAAACATGTTATATCACCTTTCAATGGTGGATTAGAAGCGAGTGTCACAGACAAGAGCCCATCAGCGCCCCTGGGAGTGTGATATAACATGTGGCAGCGATGTAATCTGTGATGTCAGGGGGTGGATTTTTTTTGCACTGTGTACTTAACCTGTCTTTTGCTGGGGTGGTCACTGAGAAACAGAGCACAGGGGAGGCAAATGGTAAAGTGTGTTCCCTATCGGCACAGGTTTTTGAGTCTCAGGTTTTAGAGCTCGTTTTAGAACCAGTGCAGTCTGCTGTCTGGGTGAAATTCCCCACTTGTCTGCAAATTAAGGTCCTTAACGGGCTCCTCCCTCCTTCTCTCTCTATTTATAGGGCATGCTCTAATTCTCACTCTGCCTTACTTGCAGGCCTACTGACCTAGTTTTTTCAGCCGCGGTAACACACAGGCAGTATTTACAGTAGAGGCCTGTTTTGTAGGTCAGTAAGACGCGGCAAAAGTTTTCCTATTAAAAGCAGCAATGAAATGGGGTTGGATTTGGATTTGTCGTTTTGCAAAGCTCATCTCAGAGCAGTCATCACAAAAGTACCTTCTGCTCTCTGCTTTGCCCTCCGAGTGCCTTTGGCCCACCATAGTTCCTTGACAATGACACAAATGTGTGGGTGCTGTATTGAGCATTGATTTTAAATGTGCCTGTTTTTTTTTATTCTTTGTTCATTTCCCACCCCTGAAATCATTTTCAAATACCTTAAATTCCTTATTGTTTTTTAGGGGGAAATGAATGGAAAGATATGTTACTGTATGTCCATATACACATCCATGTTATAAGTACTTCATGGGTGTTTTTCACCATCTTTGCCTATCAATGTATTTTTAACAGATTGTATACTGGAATAACAAATGCAAGTGTTCAGGAAGAAACAGGAGTATAACGGCATTTTGGTTAGTACTGCTGCATCACAGCTGTTGGATCCTAGATTTGATTCTGGATTGGTGCATCTTCTCTGTGGAGTCTGCATGCTCTCCCAGGGTTCACTCAGGGTTTTTCCATGCTTATACGTTGACTGGCTATTCTAAATTGCACATTTCCACAAAGTGATAGAAAAGTTTTGGAAAATCCCTGCCATAAGATCGACCCAGATTAAACTTATGCAAAGAGAGGCTCTGGTGAAGAAGAACAAGACAGACCTCACTGCACAACACACAGGTGGAACAGCAGAGGGATGACGATGGTTCATCTTTCCTGTATTATCAAGACAGACCTTCCATCATTATACAATTCTTTGTTTAGGGAAGTAATTAGCTAGAGAGGAGATCAGATATCCTGATCGGTCTCAATTCCATGCGGTAAGCTAGTTTGTGATGTTTTAAAGGTAGATGTGAAGAGCGATAGCTTGGACAATTTTAAAGTTTTCTTTCTACATCAGGTTTTGCAAAATCTGCAGAGTCCCCAGGATTAAAAAAAGGTAAAAATAGGCTGGGACAGACTAATTGTGTAGAATCTTTCGACTTCAAAATAGGTCTTTAATATCTACTGTGAGCAATATTAGAATGCAGGATAGAAACTCTTATTACTTTGATCCAGATGTTTAAGGGTGAAGAGGAAAGCTTCAATTCCATGAATCACAGTTTTTGTCAACAAGCCCCCAGAGAATTCGGAGTGTCATCTGTTTAGGAAAAACCGAGACTTCGCACTCGCTCCCCATAAGCCAAAATAAATTTGTCATGGTTCTGGCTCATCGCCTTGTTCTGAGTCACTATTTTCACAGACAGAGAGAGTAAGACAAATAGAGCAACAGAGAGGGAAAGGACAGAAAGCAGAGAGATATGGAGAGATGGAGAAAGGGAACCAGAGGGGAGGAGGAAAGAGTCAACAAAATATTGATAAAGGGGGACAGAGCGACACAGAGAGAAGGAGTTACAAATAGAGAGTTAATAGTAAGGAATACAAAGAGGGAAAGGGTGAGGAAGGGAGCAAGTGGAAAAATAGCAGAGATTGTGCTTTAAATTTAAGAGGTTTTCCTGGAAAATCAGGTTTAATGTTTTAACATTGTCACTTGATTGTAACAGAGCCTACAACAGGTCTGATCTAATAAGCGCTGACTGATTCAATCACAGTAACTAACCAAACAACTTGACTTTTGTTTTGCAATCTGAGACGTGTTCATGGTTTTAATCTAGTTACAGAGCACATGCACATAAAGACCTTTCTGCAAATTTAAGAATTTCTTGGGGAATTTTCTTGGAAACTAATATGAATCACTACTAACAGCTGAATAAGTAAATATTTTGATGATCGTGTTTTTTCTTGTGGAAGATTTCACAAAGAGCATTATGCTAGGGAATTAATCCGACTGAGAAAATTCCTGGTTCTTGCACACTCAAAAACAGAGCCATCTGTTCTTCATAAAGAGAATTTATCCTTACAGAAGTACAACTCACTAGGACCTTTCTTCCTTGTATTAGAATTGAAACTCAACAAAACCAAATGTTTCATAGAATTCCAAACTTTCATAACAATAATAACATTAAAATAAACACATTCAAGACAGTAATGGGCCCCTTAAACTGCTTCTTCATCAGTGAAATAATCATTTCAGCAAACACCTGTATGAATCAGTACAGTTCTTACACTGGAATCTTTTGGGATGAAAAGCACGAACAAACACAACTTTCACCAACAATCCCAAAAGCAAAACCAAGTAGTTCTACTAACTCAGTCACCTTTCTTGCCAAAGGATGCCATTGGTCTCTCTTCTCTGTGTTGTCAAACAGAAAGAAGCTTCATGACACCCAAACAAGTCCCCCCCAGGTGTCTCCCAAGTTCAGGCTCATGAGAAGGAACACAGCTTATTTTGTTCACCATAGCCCTTCTCACGGGCTGTGAAGACTACACCTGCTAGTTCAGGAGAAGAAGGTGCCTCTCCTCCTAAAATTAGCGGCTGCGCTTTCTCTTTGATTTTTCACATCTGGGAAGCCAAGCTATTAGGCAAAGGCCTTAATGCAGTGTGGCAGGCTTTGACTGAGCTCAAGGCCTCTGCAGAGCCCTCTCCTGCACACTGCCCTAATATCTGAAGCCTGGCAAAGCCCAGGCTACCAAATCACTTGGCACTGCACTGCCTGGCCCCCCTCACACACGCACTCTCAAAGCAACAGCAGCAGCACTCAGCCAGATAGTACACCCGTTTTAGTACGTTTATTGTTGTTTTTTTTCCATCCAAAGCTCTGAAGACTAGGACTTTCCTAATCTCTCATGGCTTGGTTCTGTTTCTCGGTTTTAGAAAGACAGGCATTATCAGGTCATGGAAAAAAAGGCGGGGGGTGCGTTTGGAATGTCAGCTCTGGCCTCGCTGTGGCTGGCTGACCCAGATTCCTTCCCCAGGCGGAAAAGCTCAGAGCTGACTGCACCTGCGGAACACATCCGAAGACAAGGGGACGGCTCTGCTTTCACACAGCACAGTCAAACGCTTTCACTGATGCCGATTTCAGTCGTAAAAGCACGCATCTGACAGTTTTCAGGAGTTCAAATTCTTGCTCACTCTTCATTTCCTGTGTCTGTGGCTACATCTCCTGCTTCCTTCTGCAGAGAGACCTTGTCCCTTCAGAATGACAAATAATCAGATCGTGTGACCAGCTATAAAAGGTTCTGCAGAAGTGTTGTGTGCCACTGCCTTGAATGGTTTAACTTAGGGGTAGGGGTACATTTTATAAACGAAATGACAAAATGCATTCATCACATTTCCCATTGTGAGCAATGTGCTCCTCATTTGGTGAAACTCTCAATGTGCCAGGCATAGGAGACAGCTGTCTGATTATCATTAAAAAACAGTTCTTTAAAAAAAAACAGTAATATGACAATTCTACCCTATCATCCTGGGTAGTTACTTTGCAAAGCAACATGGCACAAACAGAAAATCAATGTTTTCCAGCATGTGTTTTTGTCTGTACATTTCATAAATTCAAAGTCTTCATTCTTAAAGCCTTTGAGATGTTGGCCATGGCCATTCTTTTACATTTTCAGCATCTGCTGTCCTGCAAAGGTATTTCCTACTTCGTTCCATTGTTAAAGATTGCGTGAACTTATCAGTATCAGCTGATATCTTTTTCTCCTGTGGACCACACATTAAACTGGTACTTTTAAGAAAAATGCTTAAGCACAGTGATTTGGGGCATTTGAACTACTAACATTGAAGTGATTGTTTTCAGATTCTCCAAGATTATCATGCGACTCCCTACAGAAGTGAATAACATGCTTGTTCTCCATTTCTTCCTGCAGGTCACTGACAAAATACTGCCTCCAAACATCTGCTCTCACAGATACCTGTGCTGCACGGGCTGAGAGTAAACCTCCATTGAGCAAGCCATCGACAGTCTCTACGCAGGCACACTCAGTCCTACAGACAAGAGACTTTCAAACAGAAACAGAGTCCTTCCTCCAGACACCAGCATTACTGTGCTCATTTAGCAAAAGGCTCAAAGGTCATCCACGGGAAACAGTTAAATATCCTCTCATATTGGGCTTTCAAAATCGTGTTAAATGTGGGAGATTTTTGTGGAGTCCCACCTCTTCTTAATATTCCTAGCCAATTTAGACACTTGAATGACAAGAGGACCAAAATCAAAGAAGCAAAACAATTGAGAAACCAATGAGGCTCCTCCCCAGAAGAGCACAAACATCTCATCTTAAATTCTTGTCTGATTTAGCCACTTAAATGTCAATTTGAAATAAAAAATCGCCTCAGCCAAGCTCCAGTGTCCATCATCCTTTTTCTCCCCTTCGCCCTCTTTGGAAATTGTCCCTTTCAATGCCAGCCAGGCGTCACCAATCCAAACTGGCCGCCTCAGAACAATGGAAAATCTGAACTCGCAGGACTCCCTCGGTATTTCAGAAAGCTTCTCACCCTTCAGCAGCAGCCTTCCGTCCACCCGCCCCGCCCGCATCCTCAAGCCCAAGCCCAACATGACGTGCCGCCGCAAGCGGGAGTTCATCTCGGAAGAGAAGAAGGATGCCTCCTACTGGGAGAAGAGGCGCAAGAACAACGAGGCCGCCAAGCGCTCACGGGAGAAGCGCCGGCTCAATGACATGGTCTTGGAGAACCGGGTGCTGGCGCTGAATGAGGAGAACGTGCGGCTCAAAACGGAGCTGTTGCAGCTCAAGCTTCGCTTCGGTTTGATCAGCACGGCCTCCTACATGGAGAAGAGCCAGCAGATTGGTGGCAACTCCGTCAACCACTACTTCTCCAGCGGCTACTCTAGCGGCTCCCAGGTCATGGTCAACTCAGACTCTTCTGAGGCAGAGCAGTCCAGTCGGGGGGATGGCAACACTCCACTGGCCAAGTACTCCCCCCGGGGTTCGCTCTCGGACATGTCGGATGGGTCCTCTCGAGACAGTCCTGAGCCCATGACTTACGAGGTGAAGCACGAAAGCTCCAGCATGGACATCAACACCTTGGAGCAAGAGAACACCCAGATGATGTTCCACAGTCTCGGCTCACACCACCAGGAAATAGATTCAGTCATGGATTACCACCAAGAGCCTGCCAGCCTGCCCTCTGCTAACCTGGCCCCACAGAGGAGCGTGATCCTGTACAGGTCTAGTAGCAGCTCATACCCTGTGGAAAGCCAGAGGACCCAAGAAGTTGAACAGCAGCACACACTGGCCTCCCACGTGCCCCAAGTGGGAGGGAACCCCACAAAGCCAGAAAGTTCAGAACCCATCACGGAGGGGACACACCAACTCAAAACCTTGGACTCAACCTACGAATTCTCCACTGTGGAAGAACAGGCCACATATAACATTCAGCAGGAGCACCAGCAGCACCGGAACCACCAGCTAGAGGATCTTGGGCCAGACTCTTATGCCCCAGACCTTCTGAACAGCAATGAGGAAAGCGATCTCTCTTCTTACCATCCTTCCTACCTCAACTCCCAAGATGAGGAGCCCCCAGTGCTCACCTACGAAGGTGGCCCTTCCTCTGAAACGTACTATCAAGAGAGGTCAGCCAAGGACTCCTCCTCCAGTGATGGAGACCCCCGGAGCTCGGATAAAGATGCTTCCACGGACGACGAGTCCCCGTTTTCCTCTTCCTGTTCCGAAGCGGGTGGCTACCACAGGCTGTCGTCCCATCCTGTGTCCCCAGCTCACCCTTACTCCACCTCGCAGAATCCCGGCGAAGGGCAGACTGAGGTCAAAACTACAGCCCTTCCTCATAAGCTGCGCCTCAAGTACAGGGCTCTGAGCAATGGGGGCAATTCCCAGTATGACACTTCTGCCACAATGGTGTGCAGCCCAGTGCTACCCCAGCACCCTTACCTAGCACTTACCCATGTCAACCAACAAACAAGCAACAGCAGCATCTCAGCAAGGGAAAGCCAGACCCCAATGGGGTTCTGCAAACCCGCACCCCAAGATCGAGAACAAAAGGAAGATGGGAAGAAGGAAACAGAGCGGAGAGTGAACAGCCGGAACAAGAGGCGTGACTGAAAATGACAGAGCCTTCTCTGTTGGGGGGAGGGGTGGCTCACTAATTCTCAAACACGCCAACCCCTAACTACAAAGGCCAGCCCTGGAACACAAAACAATCACAATTTAATATAATCCACCAGGCTGGATATCTGGATGCACTGTTTTACAGACTTGTCAGTAGATATCAATGTTCAGATTTTTTCTCCTTCATTAGAAGACAAAAGCACTTAATTAAGGCGTTAGCAGGTGGAAGGGAAATGGAAAAATGGAACCCTACCAGTTCTAAAACCTTTTCCAAGCTTTGAAAAGAAACTCAATGTTCAGTCTAACCCCTTTATCAACCCCTTTATTGATCCACACTTCTTTGCAACCAAGCTTGACCTCTATGTCCAGTTAGCATGTGGCCAACACACACCTAAAGCACTAGGTGACTCCACAAGCTGCACGACATGATGGGAACACTCCCTTGACCAAAGAAGCTTCTGTTTCCAAGTTCCATTCCCCTTCACAACTGCCCGACACTCCCTCCAGGACTTTCCTTTATTTTGGGTTACCTTTTTTTCAAGCACTTGGATTGTACATTACTGTGATATATGAATATACATATTATATAAATATATATTTTAAGAAAAAAAAAACAGAAGAGAGCGGCTTGGACAGTTCTTGTCAATGTCAGGATGTGTTTCACAGTCAAACCTGTCTTGTTTGAAACAATGCTTAGCCTGAAAATCTTTTCACCGAACCACAAATACCAGCCTCCGCTCACAAGAAACCCAGAGGCAATGAGATTTTGCTTGCTTCAGGGTGGGCTTTAAGAGTGCAGAGATTTATCAAAGCACGCCCTGCTGGAAAGCACCTATCAACAAGAGGGAATGAAGGTTATTACATTAATAAGGAAAGACGTTTACCTTAACTCCTTTATCACAAACTGAGAGCAAGCACAAGTTTATAGCATGTGATGAGTTTGACTTGCAGTACATTGTACAAATTTAATAAAAGCCACTCAGGTATACTCAGTATATGTGGTAAAAGTGAACATCTTTTTGATGTACTGCAAGATTGACAGTGACAGCAATTAATATGAGAATGTTTACATCAGGTCCATTCTGTAATCTGGTCAATTTTGTAATTCCCAATTCTTAACAAGTATCCTATTCAATTAAAGAAAGCGTGTTTCTTTAGTTCCTTTGCTTTTTAAGTACAATGCCATGTAAGTTTTTCCAATTACGTTTCACCACCTTTTATTTAAAAAACCTGCTTAGTTTATAATCTTAGAACCAGTCAAACAGTCTTTAAACCAGCAGGCATTTCCAGCTCTGCACTCAATTCATTTCAAAGCCCTTCAACTGTACCATTACCATAACAGCTGTATCTGTATCTGTATAAACAGTCTAGCATTGTTGTTTGTGACTGTTACATTTTCATAACCTCCTCAATTAGAAAATACAGCTTTAAGAACCCATAGGAACTCTAAAAGTATAGATCCCGTTTTAGAATGAGAAGTGTGGGGCTTGAGCTGAGCTTAGACAACATAAGGGGTCATTGTAAATACTGGACTTTTATTAGTGTGTGAATGACATTGTGAGGCTGGGTACCACAAGATTTCTGAAATTAATTAAATGCTATGCACTGTTCTCAGCAACTGAAAATGAGTACAATGTTACTGATGTGTATTTTACAGTACTATACCAAAACCTATTCCCTACATACAATTAGGGTATGGTTTCCAAGTAACCCTGCAGGCTGGGGTACACTCAAAGTTCTCTTTCATCAAATTACCCACTTGTAAATCTTTAAATGTAGGTTATAAAAAGTGCGACATGCTCCCTCCTCCCAGGCAAACAGATCAGATCTGTATTTACCTGTCACTACCTTCTAATGAGAGTCTTAACATTTTCTAACAGATGAGGATGGCACTGAGTTCTCACTCTCAAATTGATGTCTGAGGTATGAAACTGCTGGGACATTTGAACAACTGAAAAACTGGAGGAAAATGTTCTTTTATGCACACAACCACTTTGGCAAAATATCCTGCATAGTGTAATAGCAAAACCCTCTTACTTGAATGCCTTAAGCTTAATTAAAAAACTGCAGGTATCATCCCATGCAAATTCTGTTCTGTATTAACCAACGCCATAGAGGTCATGGGCATGCCGTTTCTAGAAGGCAGTACAAGTCTGCTGCATGGTCACGACAAAAATAAGCACAGATCTCTGTCAACAGTATCTGCGGCTATTTTTGGGCCTCCAGCTGCCGGCTCCAGCTCCTGCAATGTTAGGATTTGTGCCACAGCTTGCATTTGTTATTGGGAATTGTCTTGTATGCCAGTATACAGCCCTGAGCCCCCTTCTCCAGAAGATAAAAGGTCAAGAAGCCTCTGAGTCAGGCTATAATTCCAATGTGTGAAAAGATCCAGTGTTTTTTAAATCCAATTTTTAATCGAAGATCAGAATATCCATTATCTAAATAATCCAATCTGATTTTTAATTGCTATACATATATTATCAGCTGTTTTGCCACGAGAGCTGTTGATTTTATCATAAAGTACATGAAGGCTATACCCAATGACTAGAGACACACTGAGTGCTCAAAATATTTGTTGGCAAGTGATATGAATGTGTGGCTGATTTGAAGAGCCTGAGACAGGCTTCCATCACCATTCCCCAATCAGATCTCAGTCCTGCTGGAATGTGGAAAAAGTAGTGGAACACGCAGTTTGACCCTGATTTCCATTACCTCTCATCCCAGCCTCAGCTGAAGTGGATAAGAATGTGAATGTGCTGCAGCTGTTTAGCAAAACCCTTGTGGAATACATGAATCACCCTGTTGGAGCTGTGCTTACTGCTCTTAGAGGCCCAAGCATACTTATCCAATTAAAGAGGGTATGGTCCTTATATTTTGGCCAGTGACCATATACACATGCAGATGTATGTGCTGGTTTTAGGACAATTTTTTTAACCTCTATGAAATCTCCCCAGTGCTTATACTGTAGGCTATCCACATTTCAATCGTAGTATAGCACCAAAGCAATTTCAAGAATTATTTTGCTTTGGAAGCATTTATTTGAACAACACAATATGCACTGCTGCTGTCTGAAAAAAAAAACAGGAATTATAAAGACTACAACAGTGCAACCCAATAAATCAGATTCTGAGAAGTAGATGACCACAAGGACAATCACGTTTAAAGGAGTATTAATTGCATTGTTTAGTGTGCCTCCCCTTTGTAATATACACCTTTAATCCCCCTGCCATATGAGGTAACAATGCTATACTTGCACTGTAGTGCAATCTCTGTAATTTCTGAAGTGCTCTGAAACTGGCACTGGTGTATAAATGTACAGCTCTTCTCAATGACAATGTTGTAAGGTTTTCTGCGTTCTCTTTCTATTTTTATTTGTTTGATTTCTTTTCCCATTTTTTTAACTGTGATTCTGTAATCCCACCCTTTTCATTGTGTATACAGTGCTGTGTTTTTTTTTTGATGAATGGTTTTTCAGGACAAGGCTCGTCGTCCCTCTGTTGT